CCAGTAAAATTGCTGCCGTTAGATTTTTTTGCGTGAAAATATTCGGCTATAAGGCGTACCCCAATTTTGGCAAAAACTTCCCAAGAAAAAACAGATTTTCCTCGAAAAAACCGTGCGCCTTATAACCGAGAAACTACGGTCAAACCAACTTTTCCAAATTACCTCTTCATAAGTGAGGGAGTCACACTTCTTATAGAATCTTTAGTCATTTGCCATTCTTTTAGTACGTCACCATAAAAAGGTGGTAAATTGCCGACCTGTAGTGTGTTAATGTCATAGTTACAATTTGTCAAGAAGTGTAATCCACCATATCTCTCTAGGGCTGCGTTAGCGATGATTTTCCAGGATGCTACGTTTTCGGATTTTATGCGTGGTATCCATGCGACTTTTAAGGTTTTATTCAAGATATTAAAGTCAGTCATTTTAAGTCCTCCATGTTTTCTCTCACCAATAGTAGTTGATTTCTTGATTTTAGAGGGCTTCTCATCCCAAATAAAATTAAAAATTATTGAGTTAATTTCTTTAATTAGTTGTTCAGGGATAATGAGTACAGATGTATTGTAAATTAATTTTGAAAGACCTAACGTTTTAACGATGTTTATCTTACCACGAAATGTAAGGTTTCTTCTCTTCCACCTATTTAAAGTCTTTTCTAGGTTCCGGATTTTCTCTATAAAATTTAACTCAGTTGCTTTGCGTGAATTGTATGAATTGTGTCGGGTCTCGTGGCCAGCGAAAACCAAACGGAGTTTCAAGGTTGTTTTTCCAACTACCGAGCCAAATCCCTTCTGTTTTTGTAGCATTAATTTCTAAGCCAGAGAGATTTTTAAAGTTATTTAGAAGTACCAGTAGTTCTGGTATAGAATCCAGGTCTCGCACGAAAACCTTGGTGTCGTCAGCATATAAGACGCTTTGATTTCTTTCTCACCTACTTTAAATCCCTTTATCATATTCTTGTTTCTAATTGCATTGGCAAGAACTTCGATACCTATCACAAAAAGCAATCTGGACAGAGGGCAACCTTGTCTGACATCCCTCTCTAAAGCAACGAATTCTGACGCATGGCCATTGTTTAAAACACAGCTGGTAACATTGTAAAAGATTTTCACCCAGTTTATAATGTGAGGTCCAAAATTAAACTTGTTAAGGGTGTCGATAAGCAAATCCCATTCAATGGTGTCAAAAGCTTTTCGAAAATCAATAAAAAGGGCAACTCCCAGGACATTTTTCTCATCTGTATATGACATAATGTCCAAAATTAAACGAACGTTTTAACCGATATAACAGCCTTTAACGTAACCGGTTTGGTCAGGGTTAATAATTTTTGGAATAACTTTTTCTAATCTCTTCACAATTGTTTTTGTCAGTATTTTATAGTCACCATTAAGAAGAGAGATTGGTCTCAGATTCTTCAGTAATGTGGTGTCTTTATTTGGTTTCGGGATGATGTAATAATCCCTATTCTTTAAGAAATTGACAAAGTTCCTGTATCAAAAGGAAAGTTAAAACTTTTTATCCTGTCAAGATGCAGTTCTTTCCAAAAAAATTTATAAAACTCTGCAGGTAATCCATCTGTTCCCGGCGATTTTTCGTTTTGGAAATCATTTAGGCTTTTAGGCATTCTTCAGTGGAGACCTTCCCTTGACACATTTGCTGATCCATATTCTCTAGAGGGGTAATGTTTTCGAAGAAAGCGGAGCCTGCATCGTTTGAATTTTCAGGATGTGTGGCCGAAGTGTAAAGAGCTTTATAATATTCCATTTGCTCTCGCAGAATCTCGAATCGATTGTTTGTGATGGTGCTGTTTCAGCATTTTAATTTTTCAATTGCCTTTTTTTCATAATTTCTTTTCTCAAGGCTATAGAAGTAACGGATGTTGCGTTCGCCGTCTTCATACCACCTCACCTTATTTCTTAGAATTGCACCTTTTGTCTTGTATTGCATAATCCTCTTTAGGCGTAGTCTGCTGTTTTGAATTTCACAAATTATATATTTGTTATTTGGTTCTGCTTCAGCTCTTTTAAACAGATCATTAATGCGGTTCTGGAGAATAGTTTCAGTGGATTTTCTTTCTCTAGATTTGTTTTTGGAATATTTCACAGTAAAACCTCTAATCTCCATTTTAATCAGATCCCATTACAGATTTAAATCTTCGACATCAATGCACTTTTGCTTGAAATTTTTGAGTTCTACATGCAACAATGACACGTAATTTTCATCATGAAGGAGTGACTGATTAAATTTCCAAAAACCTGGACCTTTCTTTGTTTGAGTTCTTCACTTTTAAAGTGAATAAAAATAGCAGAGTGGTCCGTTTCAGGAGCGAAAGTGATTGTGCATTTGTTGGTCAGGTTCATTAGCTGTCTGGAAATAAGAAAATAACCAAGATGACATTGTAATTTAAAGACTTATTTTGCCATGTAAACTTCTCTTCTTTTGGGTTTCATTACCTCCAGATGTCAGTTAGTTCATACATACCGGTATTACATCATTTATTAATTTCTTGAATTAATGGTATTTTCCGGGAGAAAGGATTGCCACCCTTCTTATCTATGTCAGTCAATGTACAATTAAAGTCCCCATCTATGATTATTATTTCTTCTGCATAGTCTTTAAGTTGATGTTGTAGTTCTTTAAAAAAGAAGACTTGTTGATGGACATCATTTGGTGTGTAAATGTTTACAAGTACAAGTCATGTATCTGAAAAAATCCAGTCTAAAATTATGTATCTACTGTTTTTGTTGGTAATTTGTTTTTCAATCTTGAAATTTAATTTTGGATGAAAGAGAATCATGGTCCCTTTGCTATGATTTTTACCGTGATTAAAGACAATATCGTCACCCCATTCTGCTCGCCAGGCGTTTTTGCATTCTTTTGAACTGTAAGTTTCTTGCAAGAAGATAAAGGAGCTGTTTTGATGATGCAGCCACCTAAACATGGTGTGACGTTTTAGCAATTTGTTTAGTCCCCTGACATTTACTGACAGGCTTTTGATATCACAAAGATGAGTCATTAAGAATTTAAGCAAAGGGTGTTGCCACAGATCCCAGAGGACCAACAAACCGCTCATATGGTTCGACAGTTTTCACAGTTTCTGTCAGATTAGACTGTTGAAATTTGCATTTTGGAGTTTGATTTTGTATGCTGATATAAAAAACCATCTGATTTACATTCTAGATATGTTTGATTGTTTGATAGCATTTGAAAAACGTGTGTGTAGCATAAACCAAGAGAAAAATTAAATGTACTTACATAAAATAAAACAAAAAGAATAACATTGACATTAAAAGGTCCAAAAAGACCTGTACACGAAGGAATACATTTAATTTTTCGCATTCCCGACTGGCTTTTGGCTATAAGATTATTTTGCGATGTATACATATGAAAAGATGATCTAATTTCAAGATAAAAAAAAAAGAAAGCAACTTGACACAAAATTTGTTTACCAACCTTTTTCCTGCATGCATTAGCTCAAAAGCTTCATTGATTTTGTCCAGTGGAAATGAGTGAGTAATAAATTCATCTACTTTTAACTTGCCAGCTAAGTACTCATCCACAAGTTTGGGAACACTTTCACAACTCTTCCATCCTGAATACAAGTAACACATATTACAACATAAAGTTAGAATGACCAAGTACAAACAAGTGCTCTACCCCCCCCCCCCCCCCCCCCCCCCAGTCCCCCGCCGCAAGAGATGTTGCTAAATATCGAAGAATAGATGTCACTATTTATCCCAACATAGGGCTTATTTCTATTTCACTTTACATACACTTAACTCATCATACTCTATCTTTACCATAGTTAAAAAACCAAGGTTAAAAAACTCTACAATTAGCCTTTTGCTCATATTGAGATTCCAGAGATAGACANTGTTTCGCCTTTGAACAACGAGGTCACAAGCCTTATCGGCAAGAAACCCGCCATTGCGTTCAAAGAAAAATCTGTTTATGCGAGGCCGTCGACACCTTACTCGTGGCCTGTTGGAAAAAACGAAAAAATACTCCCCTCTCTTGTCCAAGTTCGTTATCTCTACCAGCCCGGCGAGCTTGAAGGGGGTGTGAAAAGAGCCATGGACCCAATCTGGTCTGAAAGTTTTCGGCATTGAAAACCGGATCAACCCGTTCTCTACTATCTGCGCGACGGTCCCAAGCGCGAAGAGCTGCTGGTGGTCCCTCCAAACACTACTCTTCCTCCGGCTGACGTGAACTAGATGTGATATTCGATTGGTTAGGTGTGTATCCCGTCAGGCAGCACCCACCACTTGTCGTAATAAGAGCTCAGCCCCACCTTCTGCTGCTCGTACATGACCATCTGCCCATCCTGCATCCTGAAACCTCTGTTGGTTGCGATATCTTTGCTGTCTTCCAGCGCTTCCTCAAACCGCTGCCATGTCAGCTCGTTCTGCGTTTTCGACAACCCCTTCGTGCTGAACTTCTTTTTTTCGCACCCCTGGCTGTCGTTGGCATAATGGCACTTCAAGCAGAGCGCGATCATCCTGCTGCTCTTGAACTCAATCTTGAAGAGGCCTGGGGTCCGACTGCTCCACTTGTCCCAAGGTAGCCACTGATTTTTTTCCGCCTCGAATTCTTGCTTCGGCTCTGGCCGGACAATGTCTTCGAGCCACTCACTGGAGATTGCAAGGTAGTTACTGTCCGTGTCCATCTGGATGAACTCGAAATCTCTTCTGTCGACTACTTATCGAGAAAGTCGTAGTAGAATTCCAACATCCACAGCTTCGCCAGCTGATAGACAGCGATTCCAATCTGGAACAGCTGTCTTATTGTAATCCGAGGCTTACGGCTTTCCAGCTCGTACGCCTGCCCAATCTCGTCGAGGTCTTCGAAATACGCACTCCGCAGCGCTCTGTCGACAACGTTCCTGTCTTTCGTGTATATCACGTTTGTTTGCCGCTCCAGCACTTCGATCAGTTCCCGTAAGCGCTGTTTCCGAGCAGTTTAAACATTTCGGCGAGCAGCGCCTTGCAGCTGTCCGCGTCTCCTGTCCGGCACGCCTCCGTCACCTGGTCCACGAACCAGGTAAGGATCTTGCCCGGTTCATAGTCGATTGTTCTGGAAACTTTCGTGACAACCGCTCCATGGTTCACGTACCACAGCAACAGAGGTGCGTAAAGCAGGATCCTTTGTGCAGACAGAGCCCCCACAAGCTTTCTCCCGTCTCTGCACTGTCTGCCTGTTCTTGCTAAGTAGTCTTCCATATGTTTCGGCACAGCTTCAGCAGGAACCCTTTTGTTGTAAAAGAAAGGGCACATCTCCTCGAACATTGGCCACAAACATTCTGGGATCTCTATGTGAACTTCGGCGAGGCCGAACCACTCCCCGGCTTTCAACCGGCGAATCAGAACTTCGGCTGCTTCCGCTTGCCTGTCAGGCAATAATAGTGTTAAACAATTTCACACCAGCATTTCTAGTAAATTGCACACAAATGAAATCCCTCATTGAAACTTCAGTTCAATTTCCAAGCTCCATGTGACTGTTTCCTGTTTATATTTCTTAACTCTTCTTAGTATTTTCCATGAACTGTGATAAGAGATTTAAACATAAACCCAAATAAAGAGGGCTTTTATTTTACTGACATCACCTTAGTTATTTTAAATGAGTATGAACCACAACAGAAGACCTGCTTCACAGAAAATAATCACTTCAATTTCAACTTATGTATGAATGAAACCCTTATAAAATTTTTGGCTTTCTACATAACTGAAAGATGCCTATGAAGCTTTATAGATTGGCTTATTAGCATTTCTATTTAGTAACAAAAGCACTAAAAATTAAAGACATTTTGCCCCTGTCACTTACAATGTACGTTCATGAAAGATGATAATTTATTACATTTACACATGTAATTGTACAGGAAAAGCTTCTAAAACCAATCAAGTGAAGGTGGAAATTTCATTGACAGATGTTAGCAAGGATTTGACTATCCCAAAGATAGTCTTACTTAATGAGGCAATTGCCATTCATCCTCAGAGACTCAGAGGCAACACTAGCATGGGATATTATCGCTAGAAAGTTAACATGAAGAATTGGATTGTACTTATGTACTTACTCAGGGCAGTCACTAACATTTGAAGCAGACATGACCCCCTTCCTCTTGAAAGGTGTTTTTGGAAAACATTTTGCAATTGGGTGCCCCTTGGTCTCTAATGATGTTTACAATTAGCTATTGTTTAAAAAGATTGGCAATCACACCGCTCATGTTTACTTCCTCATTACCTGACTGATCAATGTCTTCCATATAAACACCTACATTAAGCAAGTCACTTTCACTTAACAGCTGACACAGTTCAGAGTCACCGCTGATGTCTGCCAATACCTAAGCAAATTTCTTCGTGTACTTGTCTTCACTCTCTGGTGCCTCCAATTTGCCACTGTGAACATCACCAAAGACCTGGTGAATTGCACTTAAAATTGCTCTGTTGCATTCTGTTCTCCAAACTTCAACAAAAGTTTCTACATGCTGTAGTGTCTTAATTTTGTTACAATTATCCAGAACTTGCTTGATTTGCAGTGGGATGAATTCATGCATCATGTTTACAGAAGCCACAGCCCCTGAAGTATTTTGAAGAAGCAAGTTTTTCATGCAGTTGAACACTTCAGTCCTGAGGTGTACCTTGTCATTTTCTTCAACTGAATGAACGGATTCAAGACAGGTTTTCATCTACCGTACCAACCAGAACTAGTATAGCAGGTTCCTTGCAAATTTCTTGTTGACATCCACATGCTTTAGCACGTGTGTCACAGCACTTGTGACCTCACACAGAGGAAGTAAATTTCCCTGGAAAATGACTGTAAAGGTAAGTATGCCTACAGTCAGCATTATTAGCAACAAAATCCTTGATGTCATACATGCAATGTGCACCAAGTAGCCCATCAATAAAAGGCATGAACTTGGCTGTCCATCTCTACCAGCCCTTCCATACTCCTGGACATAACATTCAAGGTTTTTTAGCAAGGCCACAATGGACGACACGATGAACTTCTTTACAATCAACCCCCATTCCAAATGCAACAGTACAGGCTACTATTCAAATGTCGCCATTAGGTTGAGACATGTTACAAAGAATGTGGCTTTTTCAGAGCCTCAGGTGTTCCAGCATGAAACATTTCCACCATTCTCTTCTTACTGTCAGGGTGTTTATTGACATAAAAATCATCTCCGAGACCTTCTTTAAATGCTGAGTATACCAAAGCGCACTGCTTGCGTGTTTGGCAGAACATTTGTGACTATTCACAGGAAAACATACTTCAACGCTTATCCATTAAATGGCTAAAAACTAACAGATAACTAATGGATAGTTAACGGCCTTCAAAGTGTTCTAACGCTTTGAGCTAACATTCTAACGTCTCATTACAATGTTCTAATGCTTTGCCCTAAAGGTCTAACGGCTTAGCAATCCAGCCTAATGGCTCATGAAAATGATCGACAACCGTTTAACATCCGAGAAAAAAATCTAATGGATAACTGCGCAAGTGCCCTAACGCTTGCAACTGATCTGCTTGAGCGTTAGCAATTGGTGTGATGCATACTGTACAGTGAAAGAACAGTTATAAATTGCTACAGGAAAAGGTCAATATCCCCACGAAAATTTAATGCCAATTACATTCATAGCTGTGAAATAAACACTACTCAAAACAAGCACTAAATTCGTCGAGACACGGGCCCGTAGTGCTGAATAACGTCCGATGTTAGTAAGATGCTAGCGAGCGAAAAAGCCAAATCATGACTAATAAATTTTGTATCGGCATGAATTCCATAATCACTTTGTAGCACAATGCATTGCAATGCAATGGTTCATGCTGGATGTGTCAGTTTAGCATTTGTTGCGACCTGACGTGACAAAGCTTGCTTCATTGATTCCTTGATAAAGTGTTGGTTCTGATAGTCAAAGTCAACAGCGTGTCAAAATAGTTGTTAAAACATTTCCCCGGAATTAAAAAGTTTTGAAACCAGTCTCTTGAATTACACTGTAAATTTCATACTCAATGTGGACGACCCCAAAGTTCACTACGAGCATTTTGTCATCTTCAGCAGAAGTCCTTAGTTGTGCATCCCAGCATATCAAAATAGTCATAAAAACATCCCACTGCAATTGCTTTTTGGAACGAACTACACTGTAAACATTCTGCCAGAACTAAAAAGTTTTGAGCCTACAGCAGTCTCTTGAATTACACTGTAAACAACCTAATGCAAATTTCATACTGAATGTGGATGGCTCCAAAGTTCTACAAGCGTTTTGTCATTTTCAGTGGAAGTCCTTAATTGTACATCCCAGCCTATCAAAATAGTCATAAAAAAATCCTGCCAGCATTTGGCTATTGCTTTTTGCAACGAATTACACTGTAAACAAGTTTATGTTTCAAACGTACGTTTTTTCGTGAAAGCATTATTGATAAAGTAAACCCGGAATTAACTCACTCATCTTATTCCCTCCTCAAGTACATCGCTCGGTTAGTCTCCATAATACGAACGAGACTATCCCCGGCACTTGCTCGTTCCGCTTGCTTACTTTAATACCCCATTATCATGCATTTGCACTGTAGCTTACAAAGGCGACTTCAGGGCAAGAC